GCATTCCTGTGGGTGGGGGTGACTGTGTGCAAGAGTGAGTGCGACCTTTGCTTTTAGGAGATGTAACTTTTCCACCAGACATACCCTTCTCCTCCCCTTTTGCTTTCCCAGGAGATGTGACCTTGAGTACATTCTTGTACCATCTTGGACTCTAGATTGCCAGGACATTTATCTCCCCTGGTTGGCATGGCAATTAGGCAAAGTGTGGATGTGACCAATGTTCCCTCTAAGCTGTGGAGTCCTGTGAGCAAAAATTCTACTTTGTGAGCCACTGGGATTAAAGTTGTGAGCCAGTGATTGGGCTACTGCATCAATTAGTTTGCTCTGGAGCCCTCCTTCCTGAGTGAGGACAAAAATGTGTGAGCCGGAGGCTAAAAAACTCTGAGCTAGCTCACACTAACTCAGCTTAGAGGGAACATTGGTTGTGACGTATTTGATTTCCTACAATATGCTTGTGCCCGCCAAAAAACCTCAGTTCTAACATGGTGACTTTTGGATCTCGCATATGCTCCAATAAACTTATCACTGCCAAAGAGAGAGTTATTGAGTGTAACTGGACCGGAGTCTGACAGTCAGCAGATTTCAGCTGCCTCTGAAGCCTTGACTAATTTGTAACTGCCGAGACCCGGGTAGCCCAGGCTATCCTGATCTCATTAGATCTCGGAAGCTAAGCAGGATCGGCCCCGATTAGTACTTGGATGGGAGACCACCAAGGAAGACTTTGTAGGAGAAGGCAGTGGCAAATCACCTCCGCTCATCTCTCGCCTTGAAAACGTTACAGGGCCACCATAGGTCACCTGTGACTTGACAGCAGTTTTCACCACCCACCGGTGTCCGAAGTAGACAAACCTGAGTTTATTACCTCTGTTGTTGTCCTTGCCTTTACCTGGATGGCCCAGGCTGGCCTGATCTCCTCAGACCTCAGAAGCGGAGCAGGATCAGCCCTGGTTAGTCCTTGGATGGGAGACCACCCAGGGAGTCCAAAATCACTAGGCAGAGGCAGGTACGGGCAAACCATCTCTGCATGTCTCTTGCCTTGAAAACCCTACAGGGTCGCCATAAACCATCTATGACTTGATGATAAAAAGAGTTAAAAAGTGTAACTTGGAGAATGGTTGAAAAGTGTCTTCTAAGCTCAGCACATTTGGCCTTGGCTAGTATCTGGACAGATGTTTGCCCAGAAATAAGACATACACAATTCCAATAAGTTTGGATGAAGGATGAGATGCCTGAAAGGCCCGTGGGCTGAGGGGTTTTGTGGGATACCCCCCCCCCAAAATTAGAACTTAAAAGTAAATTCAAAAGGGAGCTAATTTGATGGCGATAAGATCTACTGAAAGCAACGTCCTCCAACCCACACCTCCTGCCCCTAAATTGTGGAGAGAGGAGTGTGCCAGCAGCTGTTCAGCTGTGGACAGGTGATGCTGTCTTGCAAGGCACCACTCAGGACAGAACAGTGTTCTTGTGTGACCTCACAGCCCTTTCTGTTTTCCTTCCAGAGCGATATTCACTTTATCAAGCTGGCCATGAATAAGACTGGAGAAGAAATGGCTGTTCTGAATACCAGATTGGATGAACTGAACCTTTTCACTGACAAATCAGAGAAGTTGCTAAAAAAAGCCAGAGCAGATAAGCAGGTAGGGTGAGGATTTCCCCTCCCCCTTAACGGAGATCCTTCTTTGTCTTAAACATGAGTTAAATAATCAGGGCTGAACTATTATATCGCCACCCCTTTCCCCGTGTGAGGAGGGCGGGGCCTGCTTATAAGCCACTCCCCTGTGTGAGGAGGGTCGAGACGGCTTATAACATCTCCTTCATGCCTTCCCATTGGCCAGGCCCAAGGTCAGCTCTCCTGTGCCACATTTGAAAGCGAGGGAGTGGCACAGTGGCACTCCTGGGTGAAATACAGCCATGAATGAAATTCCCCTCTGTTTTGCATTGTCAGGGGTGACGGGTGCCACTCTCAGACTGCATGTAGCAATAGCTGCAGTAATAGCTGAGAGCAGTAACTGGCATCTCCTGGGATGGCGCAAGAAATCCCGGGGCACACTTCTGATACTGCACGCTTCTTTATCAGTGGCCCTAAACCAGTGCCACGCCCCCTGGGCAGGAGCTGGATGGGTTTGCGTGGTTAGACGTGCCCCGTGCGAGAATCCCAGTGCCTCCATCGGCTGTTCTTTCAGAGACCAAATCAGTCAGCTGTCACAAAAGCTACATCGAATACGATGTTGGGTTTAGTGCAGAATAATCTTGCCGTTTTTCTTCACTGAAGGATCTGATGATCGAAGATAACCTCTTGAAGCTGGAAATGAAGCGGGTCAGGAACACGCTGTACAACAAGGCGGGGAAAGTTCTGTCTCTCGAGAAACGCAAGCAGCAGTTGAAAACGGCGATGGAAGAAAGGACGGCGGAGATCAAAGTTCACAAGGCGATGCTCGAGAGCCAGATCAGAATCGCCGAGCAGGAGCGTCAGACGATGAGGTAATGACCCTGTCTGTGTGCTGTGGGATGCTGGGCAAGCGCATGTCTGTGCAAGGGCACATTTGATGCTGCTGAAGGAATCTGCCCCAGTCACAGAGCCGGCCTCATATTCGCTGCCTCACCCCGTGCATAGTGAATGTTCCAGGGGCCCAAATATGCCTTGAAATTGGCTAGGAGATCTCTCAGCTCACATACACGTGAAGCTGCCTTCTGCTGAGTCGGCCCATTGTTCCATAAAGGTCAATCCTGGCTAGTCAGTGGCCCTCCAGAGTCCAGGCTGAGGTCTCCCACGTGACCTAATCCTTTCCACTGGAGATGCTGGCGATTGGCCCCGGGACCTTATGCATGCCCAGCAGATGCTTTGCCACGAGGACCGCCAAACTCCCGGCAGAGCCTGGAAATCTCCCAGGATTATAAGTGATCTTTAGGCTTCAGAGACCGCTTTTCCTGGAGAAAAGGGCCGCCGTGGCATTTATACCCTCCCAAGGTCACTCCCCTTCCCAGGCTCCAGGAATTTTCCAGCCGGGAGTTGGCAACCCTGTCTGCCGCTGAGCCACCGCCCTGCCCTGCCGCCCACTTCTGACAGAGCCTTGTCGCTGGTCTTGCCCTGCCCACTTTCCTCTGGAGTCCTCCCTGTTCTGAAAGGGGCGCAGAGACACTCATTCACATTCCGGCTCTGCGAACAGCTACCTTTGAGTCCCGCAAGCACCTTTGAGGCCAGCGAGCTTTTAGAGGGATAAGCTTCCGAGACAGTCGAAGCTCCCTTCGTCAGAGAGCTTTGACTCTCGAAGGCTCACCTCCCCAAAATTTTGTTGGTCTCTAAGGTGTGCTGGATTCGAATCTAGCTGTTCTGCCGCAGACCGACACAGCCGCCCTCTGGAAGTATTCTGACACTTGTCACGGTTTTACCCAGCTGTGAAGGCGCTTCTGCAATTTCTGCACTTAATGCTGTTTGCCCAGGAGGTACCCGCAAACGATGACGCCCCCTTTCACTGTTCCAAGTGGCTTTATGCTGCCACTACCCAAATTCATGTTTAGAATCCCCTCCTCTGAGAATGGCAGACCGGAGCGTATGCTTCCTGTGTTTCTCCGGTGGAGCCGATTTCTATGGCTAGCAGAAGTGGGTCCAAGAACTTCTCGCTAGTCAAACAGAGAAATAAACACAAAATGCTCAGGGAGCGACTGCAAAAGGCCTGTTTTCCGGCAACTTCTCGGTGCAGCGGGTGGTTAAACCCAACTGGGAAATGAGCACTCACCCGGCGGGTTTGGCAGCCTTTTCTTCCCCGCCCCCCTCTTCCATCAACAGCCCCCGCGACAGGAAATTAGAGTGATTTAGTGCGACTGGAGCTTAACCCCTCGCCAAGCAGGCAGACTCTGTGTTTTTCCTCTGATAATTACATGACTAATTGGCACTTGCATATAATTTGATTTGGGGTTGTTTCCCGCTGTTGCTTATTCTCTTCTAGCGGTGGCAATATTAAGATACAATCAGCAGGGGGCAGGTTTTGCAGCTGGAAGATTGAAATGCCAAACCTTTCAATATTTTGGTAAGGCTCCTTGGCGGGCTGCTCCCCATGGATGCAGGAATTTGCAACACAATGTCATATTCTGCGTCCGTTCCGTGTAGGATTTGAGAGAGCCCCAAGTTGGGGAGGACCAGGTGCCAAGAGCAGGGAGGGTGCATCGATGGGCCGGGAGCCCAAGCACCACGGTCACTGGCAGGAAGGGGCGAGGCATCTAGCCCATGAAACGTTACAAAGCACTCAGCAGCACAGAGGGTTGCAAAGGGTCTCCTTAGGAGGCAAGATTAAACCGTCCTGTTGCCAGCCTCCAGGTGGGGCCTGCCGTTCCCCCAGAATTACAACTGCTGTCCAGAATCAGTATTCCCTCTAAGCTGAGCTAGTGTGAGCCAGCTCACAGTTTTTTTAGCCTCCAGCTCACACCTTTTTGCCTGAACTCAGGAAGGGATGGCTCCGGAGCAAACTAATTTATCTTGCTCACAACTTTAATGCCAGTCGCTCACAAAGTAGAATCTTTGCTCACAAGACTCCACAGTTTAGGGGGAGCCTTGGTCCAGATGGCCAAAGATCAATTCCCTTGGAGAAAATGGCCGCTTGGGCGGGTGGAGTCTCTGGCATGACACTCTGTTGAGGGCCCTCCCCTTTCTAAACTGCACCCTCTCTGGACTCTACCCCCAAATCTCCAGGAACTTCCCAACCCAGAGTTGGCAACCCTAAGACCTTCAGAATGCAGAGCTCAGTGTTCCGCTGGGGAAATACGATCGGAAGGTGGACTCTGTGGCATGATAGCCTGCTGAGGTCCCTGCCCGGCCTCCACCCACAAAAGCTCCAGGTATTTCCCAGCCTGGAGCCGGCAACCCTTGTATCGATATGTATTATCGGTGGCCCTGTCTGGGCAGAAAGGCGAGGTATAGATGTAATTAACAGATAAAGTTCACGAAATAATGAATTAATAAATATTGATATGTACAAGAGGAGCAGATTGTGTCGCCTACCAGGGCCAGGGTTGCCATCCTCCAGGTGGGGCCTGGAGAGCTCCTGGAATCACAGGTGATCCCCAGATGACAGGGATCCAGTTCCCCTGAAGAACATGGCTACTTTGGAGGGGTGGACTCGATGGCGTTATATCCCGCTGAGGTCCCTCCCCTCCCCAAGGGTCCGCCCCCAAAATCTCCAGGAATTTCTCACCCCAGATTTGGCAGCTCTGATCGACATCCGTCATGTATCGCTCCTGTTTAGCAGCCTGCTTCTTTCCCCACAAATAATATCTACCTCACTGAAGACGAATGAACCATCTCACGGTTGGTGGGAACAGAAATCCGGGCACCCACGTCCCCTTTCAGTGTCCCGTCTCACACTTTGAGAACTCCGGTTCTTCCCTTCTCCCCCCCCCCCCCCCCCCAACAGATTTTCTTCCAATTCCTCTCTCAATCAGCACCGAGTTTCACGAGCGGTTGAGCAAGATCGATAAACTGAGGAGCAGGTACGAGATCATCACCATCGTCATGATGCCCCCCGAAGGAGAAGGAGAGGAGGAGAACAGTCATGTCTATTATGTCATCAAGGTAACCTTCCCACCCCGATGCCGCTCAGCAGCCTGAAAGCTCCCCGTAGCATCACCTGCCTTCTCTCCTCATTTGGCCTCCAGGTGCTCCGATCACACCCCGTCAAGACAGAGCTGCAGTGCGTGAACGGCAGTGCCCCCTCTCCCCACTCCTCCATGCTTCTTTTTTTCCCCTCTCCTAAAAAGGAGAGAATTTTATTGCTTTTACATTCCAGAAAATTAGGAAGGGTATATAGAGGGGTAAAGAAAAGTGTTGAGTGATGTTAAAAATTAGTATTTTAATCTTTTATTAGTAAAGTCAAAGTCAAAATATTCTTCTGCAGCTGGACAATCCCTTCTTTCTTCTATATCTTTCAAAACCGGTTAGTTAGTGTGTTAATACTGTCCCTTTGGGGTTAGTATTGTCTTTTAATGTGCTCTCCGAACTAGTTCTCAATCGTTGGGGTGCTTCCCTTTTTTGCCTCTTAAATTGTATTTTGGCCCTCTAGCCGCTCCTTTGTCTTCCTCATCTTTCACCTCTCCCT